CATCCCACCCCAAGGGAGGACATCCATCACAGTAATCTCGTTCGTGGGAAATTAACGTCTCCTTCCCCCAACCCTGCAGGAGACGGGACCTCCACTTTATTCGTCCCTATCCGAGAAGACTAGTATATCAAACCACTTCTTGATGTTATAGAAAGGTAGCAAATTCTTCTCAATTATTTTAAGACCTTGAGTGTTGGTTCGGGCGGGGCTCGAACCCTCGACCTCCCGCACAACAGTCCAGCGCACTATCCATTGGGCTAACTGGCATGGGCGGCGGTACCTAAGGAGTTATTGATATTCCACGTTGTCTTGCCCCTTGTTTTTGTTTGTAACTAAATCAAAATATCCTATTTAACAATTTTTTTCAGGCACGGACAGCACTTACTTCTTCTTTTAAATGGAGTGCGAAAGAAATTCTTAGTAAGTAGAACGTAACTCTACAGAAGATTTGTTTGCGGGATCAATCATTTCCATTCTATGCACTCCAGTTCATTGGTAATTGAAAGTTTGCACAGAAAATCGCTCCCCCTTTTTTTCTTTCATTCTGTCTTTTGCAGCGACTGATGATTCGTTTCTTGTGCACCCCATTCAGAGTAACGCGCACATTCAAATTAACACAGCCGGCAAACAAAAGTGACTTAAATTTTCCTCGCATTTTTCGTTTGACAGGACAAACTTCCCATTAATTACACAGCCACAATCGACCGCGCAAAGAATACCTGGAATGGTACTGCTGATATCCCAATCGACTACTTTCCACCTGGAGTGAGAAAAATCAATGCATACGCTATTCATGGCTCGGGCAACCAAAGGAAATACGAGTCACTGTATCCTGCATCAGCTGATGTCATTAATCCGGACTTGTAAGTTCTTTTAAGAGAGAGCCCATGACTGTCGCATAATTTTGATCGGGTGGGAACATAGTTAGTAGAGGGGTCCTCCTCTACTAACTATGGTGGAAAGGGTATTTGTGTTGCTTTTCCACGCACTATGATTGATGCAGAAACTCGTCACACCTGTCAAACGATCTGATACAAAAGTAAAATCAATCCTGATTTGTCGCCCGAGTATTTTTGCGCTTCAGCCGTATGCACGTTCACAATGAATTCTCATCAGCTCTCTTTGATCACGCGACTTAAATCAAAGCAAGGCTTTCATCTCAACCTTTCCCTTTCTATACCCTTACTACAAAACAGTTTCTCAGCCTTCTCAGTCTTGGGCTTATTTCTGATCGTCCCCACTTAGTCTGAGCAGGACATCTAATGAATCTAAGATTGGAACATGGCTAATACTCCCATCGATTAACTTTTCTTTTTTCTCTTTGCAGCCATCGTCTGGAATTTTTCAAGCCGTTTGATTTTGACGCCATGTTTACCTTTTCTTGGAGTAAGCCGCAATCACATTATTGGAAGAATGTCAAAAGATTACTGAGAGCAAGATTCAGAGCTTGATTACTAACTAAACATGCTGTCAATAAATTGAGAGAACCTAAATGAAAATATTGCTGTAAAATAAAATTACGGCAGCGAAGAGTCTGTCAAGGAGCTGCCCCGAGGGAAGAACAAGGGCGTTGAACAAATCTCTTACCTCCTATTGATGCTAAAAATGTCGTAGAACTGATGCCCCTTTCCTTAATCGACAGTTTATAATTTTACCGCTGAAAGACTTCTTCAAGACACAAGAAAGACAACAGGAGCACTTTCACTAAAAAACTTCCTTATCTACCTCACTTTACCTTGGGTGACTTCTTCAATTTAGCGATTTACCCCTACAGACCCCTAGAGATGGGAAAAAAAGGGAATATTCCTTACCCCACAACGGATTTAAAAGCCTCAAGTTGAGAAAGGGTTAATCATCGGCATTTGCTTAATATCTAAAATCATCTTTCCATCGACTTTATAAATAAATTTGTACATAGTCACTGGTATTCCAGCCACCGCCAAATCTAAATGGTTTGTAAACACTTTCAAACTAAGTGCATGAGTTTAATGGCGGACGTGACACCTGTATAATGATTGACCTTTAGACGTGATAGACATCACCTGCTCAAATTCAACCCAAGGCTCCTTTAAAATACACTTCTGTTGAGTCTTTGCCATCTTTGAAGCAGTTTTCATGTAATTACTCGCTTGATTTCCACACTCAGGGAAGTTCTTGTCCTTAGCACTCAACATAGACACGCTTTCGTGTTGGTCAGCAGCTATCTTCCGATCTATGATAACAACATCTCACATACCAAACTTGCCACAGCAACCCCATGACAAATTCACTCAAATGGATACAGAGCTATCATGCTCTGTTAGTGAAACACCAGATCATTGGACAGATTAAATTCCTAATCTGCAGTTCATTTACCACTCCCAGGGGAGCAGGAAAAGCTGACTCGAACATATTAACCACTGTTAAACAGGAAGGGTGTTAGAAACTGTTTTTGTTACTGCAGATGAGAAAAGCTTGGTGAAAAATTTCATGCCTGTTGTCCCACCAGGAATATAGCTAACAAAGTACCTATGGATAAAAAGCAGAGCAGCAAAAATTACATAGTTGATGTTAACTAGTTACTATGTAGTAAATAAACAGATCAGTCACATTTCACCATAAGGTCATGTTATTTTAGCTTTATTTCCCATATTTTCCTGCATATCGGCTGTCATTTTTTTGCTTTTGATTAGCCTTACACACAATGTGCTTCATTTGGCACCATTGCGACTCAGTGGATCAGTGGAACCAAACTTACCATATTAAGGAAAGAATCTGGACCAAAGCACAAACTGCAGTCAGTATCGTACTCTTTACCTGATGTAAGAATTTGTATAATTATATCAACTTATCAGTATTTGAATACAAACTTGCTTAAATGTATGAGTAACCTACCCCATCTAGGTCAGATGATCAAAAAATTTGATCATGTTGTGGTGATGTGGTCAAAAAATTTGATCATGTTGTGGTGTTGTGGTCTATCTTTGTGCAGTGTCTATCCAGGGTGAATTGGGGGGGAGGCGTGGTGCCTCGCATGGACCTTGTGTTCCATTCGCACTAACCCTTCCGGGTGTAGTCACACCCCGTAAAGTCATTAAAACAAAAAACAATAAAACAAAACAAAATGAATTGCACTTTTAGATCATCTGTCAATGGCTAATTAATATTCAACTTCTCTTTGTATCTTATATTTGTATGGCTTCTTTTTAGTAATACGAAAAAATGTAATTGACCATAAAGGGCATCTAATTAACTTGCCATATTATGCCCTTCTCTTTCTTGTAATTATTCATTAGATTCTAATTTGTTGAAATGGAGGAAATAAAAAATACAAAAAAATACAAAATACTATATTGTACAGTGTAATCATTTTATTGCATGAGTGTGCACCAACACTTACAATCATTGCCATGTAAAGTGTTGCAAACATTGATCCAAAGTAGGCAGCAGTGAAAGGAAGCCTTTCAAGTGAACACAGGTGTTTGATATGATTGACTGGACCCCAAAGTAAAGAAAAACTGGAATGAAAACAAAAAAAAAATTTCAATTAGGCCTTATAAGATTCTAATGAACATAGTACACATTGTCCAATTGGTCAATTCAGTTTCCAAGCAGATGCTTTATCAGGTTATTGAGCCCATGCATTACTTGTTACTAGAACCCATTGTTTACAGGCTTATAACATGATAAAGCCACATGGGACACTTGGAAACCTTATAAATTACTAGTAGAAGGTGAGTGATTCATAAGCATTCTTCGTGTTCTCCTGACATTCCAAGTGGCTTTATCACGTAATAGAGCCCAGAAATATGTGTTCTATTGCTTAAGGAGAGAAATCGCAGTTTAGAGTTAAATGAGCTCTAAGTGCTCACCTCCCGCTTGCCCCCATTCAACTGTAAAATAATGCGAAAAAATTATGCCCCTTCTGAACATGTTTGTCTGTTTTGAACATGATTGGAGACTGTTCAAAACAGTCAGCAGAAAATTTAAGTTGGCCTTTTTTTTAATTGTCACACATATGCTTAAACACAAGCCACAACATACATGAACCTGTAGCTTACTTTTTGATATTATCTCTGTATACAAAACATATTTATTCATTTAATACATAGAAATTAATGAGATATCTAAACTTCACCCATTTCAAGTACATGATATCTTTGTTTTACTCAGGGAACATACCATTAATATATTTTCACACAAGCATTTTCCTCTAAACAGCACAAGGGGGTAGAATTCAACTTTATTCAAATGGACTCAACATGTTTTCCATAGAAAGAATTCTTTTGTATCTCTGTATTCACAGCTGAAGTAACATTACCAAGGTTACCAGCAGCTGATCTTTGAATTTGGTGTCCATAAAATGTTGTTAGCATAAGTAGCAAGGAATCATAAGTTGATCCAATAACAAATTCTCAGAACTAACATTATATAAATTGTGTGGTAAACAGCTGTGAGGAGAATTGCTAACCAAAACCTACGTCAATAAAAAATCAGCTACTAAGAATGAACTCAAATAATCAATAAGGACCAAAGTGCATAAGATACATTAAACACATTACCTTCCTATGGTAAACAAACTTCCCATTGTGTAGAGCAGGACAAATTTTCTTGCCTTTAACAGCATAACAGGTGCAATAAGCCCAGCCTATAATAAGTTCAAAATCCAGAACAGTCACATGAAAAAGAAACAAAGATAGTCCAGTCTGTAAAGACAGTGAAGGGTGACTGCTCCATATTTAGGTCATTTAATTTTTCAGCAACATACTTATAACCCTTTAATTTCTAAGACACTGACCAGCTTTTTATTTCTCCTTACAGTATCACCCTTGAATCACAAGAAAAGGTCATGAGAATTGAGAATATGATCACCAATTTAAGAAGCTCATGATTATCAAACAAATTCTTCTTGTCACTGTACCACAGGAAATGCAAAGAGAACAGTTTGGAGAATGAAAGAAATCAACAGTGGTTTAGCATGGTCTGAACTCTCGTCAACAACAACATTCGTCATCACGGTGGTAAAAATGAGGTGCCACCAAGTGAGTCCCCATGCTTGATACTTTGCATGACATGTTCAGGTCAGCAGCATAGTCTGTACTGTATAGTACAATAGAAAATTGGCCAATCAGATTGTATCATTACTGCCAATTGATAATTTTTTTGTGGTCAAATATGAATTCTAAAGTTAGGCTCTAGAGGGTTTGGAGTATTGCTGTCAGTTATAATAATAATTAGTTTGACAGTAGTAAATAAAAAGATAAGTGACAATGATTTACAGTGAACAACCTGGAGAGGAGTGGTCTTAATCTCGGTCTGATATATTTTCTGTTTATTTTTAATTTGCTTTGTTTAATTTCTACTGAAGTGAAATGAAATCAACACCTTTTCACTGAAGGGGAAAGGTCAACATTTAGCAAGTCAAAGATAGCATTGACAAAAACTTGATTGGAAGAGGGTTTGCAAAGGATACACCAACCTTACTGGCCATGAGGAGCAAAATCTTGGTGGGAACTACCGAAGTGCTATAATAAGTAGGTCATTTACATGCAAAGTGTATGTGGCATGAGTACAATGTTTTCTAAAATGTAAAAAAGTAAATTCTGACCGTTTGAGATTAATCCTTTAACTCACCATTACAAAGCAGAAGATTCCCAGCAGCAGAAAAAGAAAGAAACCTGTGATTCGTTGTGTTTTAGACTGTCAACAAATAATGAAATCAGACACTGCATTCATACATTGGTACTGATGAACCTGTCATGGGATTTTCTTCAAATAAATATAAGGCTCTCTTGTACACTGAATTTGTACACTGCATTTAATTTTCTTGCATCAACAGAATCTGATGTCATTAGCGCGGTAATTTTGTATTCCTTGCCTGATTATAACGTTTTCAAGGTCACATCGCTTGCCGCTCTTACCCTTTGAAAAGTGTAGAACTGATAATAACGCGTCATATTTAGCAAGTCATTTAGTAGATATGAAATGTTATAACTTACATTCAAACTTATGACTGATTAATAAGATGTTCAAAAATAAAAGGAAAATAAAAATACACAATTTCCATATCAAAACCTACTAATGAAGGTAAAAATGGGTCCTTTTCTCCTTTGGCAATCCAATTTCCCCATCCATTCGCGGAAGAGGAATTCGAACTTTGACTGGTTTGATTGGTCCTTGAGGAAGAAGAGCCATTTTTCGATGAGGATCCAAAGGAAGTAAAATCTTTCAGAGCAGAAATTTTTCTATCTAGGTCCATATTTTCATCAGCTTTTTCTATCTACTTTATCAAATTTACTCGGTAGACTTTGTATGTTGATGTTTCTTAAATTTTGAGTGCACGTTCTCGTTATGTGTTCGAACTCACTGCTCGTGAAATTCGCGGGCTCAAGTAGATCGAGTCTTTTAATAACAGGCGAGACAATCGCGATCGCGCGAGACAATCGCGAGCAGTAGAGCAATAGAGACAGTTCAAGGCGAAATTAACACCCACTTAGGTTTACAAATACTGGTTGCAGGACTAATATTTTTAAATAGAGTTTTTTTTTCCCAGATCCGTTAAAGAATGGAACGAACTTCCCGACACAATTATTAAAGCTGCCAACACAGAGGCCTTCGAAGTTTGCCTCGAGGGCTCAGACCAGGTCCAGTTGAGCATTTGAACATTATTTACATGTAAAATTTTTTAATTTTTTTAAAATTTATTTTTTATAAATGTCTCCCGCGAAAATTCAAAATGTGCTTGTTAATTGTTATCTGCCACATGTCGTTTGAGAAGTCTTACATCTGTATCTTCCCATCGCTCCAAAATTTTGAACGACCCTGCTTCACCGTGGTCGGTTACACTTGCCGAGGGCCTAGTTGAAACGGATGAAATGACAGCTGGAAACAAAGAATGTAAAAAATTCTTGGAAATTGAAAGACACCTTAGACAGCGACGCGACATAACTTTTACGCCAGATACACTTGCTCTCAAAGAGCTCCAGGTACAAATTCTGTAAAAAAAGCTGTAGGCTACAAATTCTATCTACCATTCAAATATGAGCCGCAATTATGGTGAAGTTAATTTTGTCAATCCGAAACTAGAAAACGGCACACTGAACACTCATACACCTGAGCGCACGCCATTTTCACTGATGCAAGAATACGAGAGGGGTGTGGTAGCGAAAACGACCGTGAAAATCTTTCCACTGGAAAATTTCCACCGGACTACCTTTTCAGTATTTCCGTTTTTTCCCGGGAATTTTCCAGTGGGACAACCTGGAATAAAACGTTAAGTGTACGTGTCAAGGTCACAGGAAGTATTTGTTGTTTACCCAGAAACGGAAAGCTGACGTCATTTTGGTATCACTCCACCAGGTGCGGTAATTGGAAATGCGGAAAGTAACCTTTGTTAGTCGACGGTTTCTTTTCGAAGTTTTTTCCCTTATCGCTTAAAATCACAGTGCTTTCTAAGAAGCAAAAAAGATAACTGAAAAACCCAGACAGCAGTGAAAAGTGATTTGACGCATTCAACTGAGATTTGCTTCGGGTTTTGTCGAAGTTTAGAAGGGTTCATCATGCGTGTACACGTCAATTTATTGAACGCAAAGACAATTTCTGTGGAAGTGCAATCTTCAGACACTGTCAAGAAGCTGAAGGAAATAATATCTAAAGCTACTGGAATTTCGCCTGCCTCTCAACGTCTCTCGCAGAAAAGAAATGGCAAAGAGATCGATCGTCGTACCATTAGTGTGGGAAATTTGATTAAACCGGACTCGCTCATTTATGTCGCCTACAAAGAGCTGACCTCAATAAATTCATTTTATATTAATGCTGTGACCGGAAAAGGAAGAGTTCTGACGGTAACTCTGGAAGAAGGACAATCTTCCACAGTCAACGATCTGAGGAGAAAGCTTTCGAGTCGGGCAATGCTTGGTGTTCCAGTACGCAGCCTGTTTCTGCGGCGTATAGACTCGTCTTTCAAGAACAAGTGCTTAGCAGAATCCTTTAACAGTTTGGAGGAATCTGGTGTCAATCGTGGTTCAGTTGTGTTCGTGCAAATTCATCCATATGAGGAAAGGTAAGTTTGAATAATTATGTTATGAGAGAGTACGCGATCTACTTAAATGTCAATTTCGGAGAAATCAAGATGAGATCGTACATTTATTTCTTGCAATTGATTAGAAAGGTATCAACCTTTTTTTTGATGTTGACATGGCTAACTATGGGTATAATGTATAATGATTGTTTGAATTACTGACACGGTAAGTCAACCAGATATGAGCTTGCATGTGAAAATTGTTCATTCATTCCTTGGGTCATACTTTCATTTATTCATTCATTCATTCATTCATTCATCTTTATTTCATTTTGAAAAAAGATAGGATCCATTCCTGAAAAAAGTTGTAAAGTAAGTTTCTTGATAGGGCTGCAGAGAGAAAATGCATTGAATCATTACAAAACGGCAATTTACAAAATTCTCAGTTATTGACTTAGTCCTTACAGACAGAATAAATCTTTTTAGGTAAACAGCCGAAATCTGCCTGTAGCAAACCTTCCAGTTGTTGATTTTCTTTCTCAACCACAAGAAATGCCACACTATCTTTTGGTTTCTCTTTTGTCTTTTGGTTTTCTTCCCTTTCTGAGAAATTCTGAACATTTCTGTTAGTAAGCAATATGAATTTTTCAGCATTTTAGCAACGATAACACATGAAAATTGTGACAAACAACATTGGATTTAGAATGGTGAAGGTTTTCCATTTATTCAACAACATGAGAGAGTGGCATGGAAGGCAAGTGACATGACTTGGCAGCTGACTGGCAATATCAAACACACCTGAAAAATTGTATTTTTCACATGTGTTATCTTTTCTCAGGACTAGAAATCCTTGTCAAGCACTGCAGTTTATTTTTTAAATTATGTCATCATGTTACTTTTTTGTGTCTTAATTACTTGTTTGACAATTTGTATCATGTCATGTATCACGGGAAAATTCATTTTCATTCAACTCATCTAATTCAGAGAGAGAGTT